TAACCGTGGATCTAACAGCAGCTTGTGAGATGACAAACTGTTCTTTTGTAAATCTCCCGCGGCACCGCCAGGACCCAAAACATGTTATCTGAACTGCAGAAAGCCGGAGGGCGGGCAGGGTTTAGAAAAAAGTGACAGTTAATTCAGAACAGCGGCAGAAAGGGCAGACTGGAGGTCAAACGCCTGTGAACGGAGAGACGCAGTCAGCAGTTTATCGGCAGAGAAACATCTATTTAAGCCGGTTTAATCCGTGACATAAAAAAAAAGTTTGTACGTCTCAATGAAGCGGCAGAACTTTTAGAAACCTTGCCTCTGAAAATCCTGAAAGGCCGACGTGAAAACACGGTTTATTCAAAAGCAACAATGACACTGATGAGATAATTCTTTTTTAAATAATGCCCCATTTAAATGTGCTTTTAGAAATATTAGAGACTGTATTTAATTGTAGTTAATGAATGGATTGATTGATATAAGAAATAAAAAAAGTCTACTGGAGCTCCAGGTGGTTTGTGTCAAGTCTAAAGTCCAGCTCTTGTTCGGGTTTAATGTCGTTTTTAACTATTAATGCATAAAACAAACGATGTGTAATTAGCAAATACAGTAACGAAAAGTTAAATTAATTCAAAAATCCTGTTAAATACTTACTTTGTTCCTTTTATTGCTTAATATTTGAATACAGATAAAGCATATAGAAGATTAAAATGGCAAATTCAGTTGTTTTTTTTAACCCTGAGTCTTAAAATACAAATTAAATTAATCAAAGTTTCATATTTCTTATTCATCAACGCACTCCGTCCTTAATTATAATTAAAACAAAGGCAAGGGTCTCTAATTATTCGAGTGGCCACTGTGGATAAATGGTTGGTCTGGTGTTAAAAATAGTGAAAAGTGAAGAAGTAGACAATCAAATGATGACTAAAGTGTTTGGTTTTGTCATTTGCAATAAAAATCTAAAAAGAATTTGACCATCAGTGTGTTTAAAAATCAAGAAAAACAACTTAAAAAGCACCCAAAAAACTCTAAACAGCTGCAATTACTGAATAAGAGGAGGAAAATGTCAGGGTTTAGGCGTCGGTTGATCAAATGTGTGACTTTGTGCAACAAGGAGAGCCGGAGAGACCTTCAGACTGGTCGTTCTGTAGTAAAGAACACAAGCTGGCCTGCTTTGAGACTTTCACTGCCAGGTTTTCAAGCTACATTCTCCACCTCCGGAAACTAGAACCGGACTAATAGGGCTTTTTTTTTTCTTTCTCCATTATTCTCATCCTGGGTTTTTTGCTTCCACTGCTCTCCGCCTGCAAATTCTGGGATTGTCACCCTGCAGGAGGCAAAAAAAAAACTCTACAACACAACTACAGTATTTCACTTCTGTTTATGAGGGGTTTTTAAATACAGAGATCATCCCCGCTGTCGTCTTTTCTGCGGCGTACAGCGCATCTGATACTTCCCAGTTTGGAAAGTACAGTAGAAAGCAAAGCAGAAGTTCTCAAAAGGTTCGAGGGAACTTCAGCTCATTAAGTTCCTACGAGCTGTAAATCTTTTTTCTAATTTTGTAATCTGCCACTTATTTCCTTTCTTTGGTGACTTAATGCATCGCTTTCTCTATGAAGTGTCTGTAAATAGTGAAAGAACTCCACAGCATTTGTGCATAAACTCCCAAATCCTGAAGCTTTCCGGCAAAGTAAAGCAGCAAATCCTCACAGCTGAGAACTTGCTCGTGTTTTTTTGGGGCTTCTAAAATCATTCAGACATGTGTTGCTGATCACGGATGGATTTCAACTTAATTAATCAAGTAATTGTTCACGTTCCAGCTTTTAGTCGAAGGCTTAACTGACTCGAAGGCTGATTTAAAAGGCATGGCCGGGGAACACAGATGTTTTCCAAATGCAGAACGCCAAATAAAAGAAAACACTGGCTTTCACAACACCATTAACCACAGATCTTGAAAGCGGAATAAATTAGAATCAGCGGCATTTATGGATCGATTCGAGGTTCGCCTGGAGGATTTTTCTGTTCTCTTCTTGCACAATAGCTCAAAATCGCCGTCGTGCCCCCTCCCTTTCACCTACTTCACATCATTCTCCAGGCATGGGAAACCTCAACACATGTAAAACTTGTATCCTCACATTGTTCACATGGAGCACTGTTAGCAGCAATCAGCGTAAACAATAAACCGAATGACAAAAACAGCAAATAACTGTCGCTTCCTCAGCTCAGGGGGCTGACTCACACATTTTATTAATATTTAAGGAGAATCTGATCACAAATAAACAGTCATCTTTCGCCTCAGCGTTTTATTTCAGGCCCCCCCCAAATTACCGACAGTGATAGACATTCTAAGTTTAGTTGTGAAGAAAACAAGAGGCCAAAAATAACCGCCTGCACAGACGCGGATAAAGATCTCCTCTCCATTGTTGGTTTTGGAGGCGGTGCACAGATTCAAAAGAGGCAACGTACTCATTAGCTGTGTTTGTGCGTGTGTGCATCAGTGTGTGTTAGTGTTTTATGTGTAGTTACATGATTGCTTAAGCCGGTGAACAATGAGCAGCGCTCGCAGGGGGAACATGTATTTCTCTACGGATTTGCGACCATGCCGAGCCGTTTGAAAAGACGGTAAATTATCAAACCTGCACTTACGCACACCGTCCCATAATTAAACCGCACAAACTGGAATCTTAGTCTGAGTCCCAACAACCTCCTCCTGCTGAAATCAGATTAGAACAAATGCTCTTTATCTCTTAATAGTCAAGTGGAAAGTGGTGGAACCTTCATTGACTCAAATGTTATTTACTCTGCAGGATTTTGCAGGTGAATGTTGCAGCTTTAAGTCCTCGATATTTACCTGGTAGCTGCAGTTATGGCTGATTTCTGAGATTAGTGTCGTAAATATAGAAAACATGGTCAGTTTAAATGCATAAGTATTTGGCTGGTGGAACATACATCCATTATCTATGTACCACTTAATCCTCACTAGGGTCTACTGGAGTCTATCCCAGCTGACTCAGGGTGAAGGCAGGTTCACCTGGACAGGTCACCAGTCTATCACAGGGCTACACTTAGAGACAGACAACCAAGCACACTCACATTCACACCTACGGACAATTTACAATCACCAGTTAACCTCAACATGTTTTTGGACCTTGTGGGAGGAAGCCGGAGAACCTTGTAGCCCCCATATGAACATGTTACCAGATTTTTAAGAAGTGATTTTCACCGGTGGGAGTCTTTGTAGAACAAAAACAACCAGACAAGACAACCAAGCACACTCACATTCACACCTACGGACAATTGCAAGGTGGGGCGGTGGTTAGCACCGTTGCCTCGCAGCAAGAAGGTCGCCGGCTTGTGTCCCAGTGAGGGCACCCGGGATCTTTCTGCGTGGAGTCTCCATGTTCTCTCCAGGTTCTTCGGCTTCTTCCCACAGTCCAGAAACATGTTGAGGTTAATTGGTGATTCTAAATTGTCCGTAGGTGTGAATGTGAGTGTGCTTGGTTGTCTGTCTCTAAGTGTAGCCCTGTGATAGACTGGTTACCTGTCCAGGTGAACCTGCCTTCGCCCTAAGTCAGCTGGGATAGACTCCAGCCCCCCATGACCCTAGTGAGGATTAAACGGTGTATAGATATTGGATGGAAGTTTTGAATTTGGCTGTTGCCATTTGTTCTTTTAAAACCAACCGGTGGCTGGTAAATTACAAGATAGCTATAAAGCATGTACTACTTCTGTTTTACTTTAAATAGAACCTTAATTTACTAAATGAACACCATCCTGTATTGATGGAGACTGAGGATAGACTCCAGCCTCCCACAACCCTAGTGAGGATTAAGTGGTATATAGATAATGGATGGATGTCTCTGTCCAAATACTTATGGACTTGATTCTATATAATATGATGCATCAGAGCAGACAAACAACACAGGAGTGTATTATATAGTTAAAGTAGCTTAGCTCCACTTTAAAGATTAAAATGCTGATTAGATGTTAATGCATCAGTAATAATAATAATAATAATAATAATAATAATGATGTAACATATAGCATCTGATCGTAGCCATTTCTGCATAATGAGTAGTTTTTCCTGTATCAGGATGTTTCGCTCTGTAATGTTACTCATAATTGATCAAAACAACTTTGTGTGGTTGCGAAATGCAGAGAATTATCCCCCGACGAGCGCTTTAGCATCCGTCAGCTTGTGTTGTTTTTGGTTTTATGAATGAAAAGAGTTTTTGTTTCAGTGAAACGGTTCTCAACACCTTCTGTTTACCTGCCCAGCATCAGACAACTGACAAAGCTAGCAAGTGGCTCATTGACAAAATTCAGCTTTTAACAGCTGAAAAGAGTTTTTTTTAAGTTAAATTTGTCAGGTGGCCAGAACAAGTTTGGAAATGTGTCAGTTTTGTGTTTACTGCTTATTTCTGCTGCTCCCAGATGTCCCAAAAAAAATCACTAAATGCAGCTTTAAGTACATTTTAATATTGAGATTTTTTTTAGCCCTAAAAGCAAAAACTAATAGTAGTACATTTATAATTTTATACAAGGTCAGAAGCACTAGTAGAGAAATGGACTTCACTCTCTCATGGTTCTTGTAAATGTTGTGTTATCATACATTCTATTATTGGATTATTAGCCAGTTTTAGGTAGTTATAACATTTATAATTTGCACATTAATGAACATTTATAGCTTTCAGGTAAATGTAGTGGCACAAATATCAAACTACTAGATAGAAAAAAAAGAGGAAATGTTTGCATGAAGTCGCTCTAAACTCATCACTTGAGTATTTTCCACCGCTGACCTTCTCTGAGGGAAAACTCTGAATGCAGAACTTTAAATAGAGCGTTTTTACATAATTGTGCTTGTGCCGTAAATGATGATGTAAAGCATTTGAATGCTTCTTTTGTCTCTACATACAGAAAGTACATACACAGTGTGGTTAAATGAATGTCATACAAATTGTAAAAGCTATTCATTAATGTGTTTTTTTGTATTTTCTACTCATTGACAGCAAACTACGACACCAAGCCCAGAGTGAGCGGTTTGGATACAGAGAGGTAAGATTTGATGTTTCGCAGCATATTTAAAATCTAAAAGAAACGTCTCTCATATCTTGTGTTTCGTCGCTCCGACAGGTAGTTTTAAAAGGAGATCCAAAGAAGCTGAGCCTTCACGGGGTAAGACGGAGATTTACACGCACATCAGAATGATTCCCGTTCATGCTATCAGCAAATGCTTCTGTTGACTTGTGATAAATCCGCCGCCTAATGACCGACTGTCTATCACTCACGCAGCAGACGTGCGCCGTGTGTCTGGAGGACTTCAAAGTGAAAGACGAGCTGGGAGTGTTGCCATGCCAACATGCTTTCCACAGGAAGTGAGTAGGGGCTTCGCACTTGTTTGCCGTTTCGCACCTGCCTGGGCTTGTTAAAATGAAAATGGTAATGTTCGATGTGAGGTTCAGTGATCAAAAGTTAGACGAGGCGCCGGGGCTCCTGACAGCAGCGGGTTCATCATTCATTCATGGCTCCTCGTGGCGTATTCCTGTTCAGGATCAGAGAGGAAGGGTCAGCGCTGCGCTTCCATCCCAGCATGCACAGCAGACAGAACTTGCACGGCTGACTTGTGGCTTTTCTAGGTGTCTAAAATTGGAGTATTGTGCCTGTGAACATGTGTGAGAGGAGTCTGAGAGCCAGGAGGCCTATTTAAAAGGAGCAGTTTGACATCTTGGGAAATGCAAGTGCCAGCAGCCAGGAAGCTGCGCACAAAGGATTCTCCAGGTCATCTTATATCCAGAGGGGATCAGTTAAAGGCATCCTGACTTACTTTTGGTTCTTTGAAAATCTTTAAAACTATCTTCTAAACACCTAAACCCACTTCCTTAGAGCATAAAGAATGGAAAAACCGAGGGAAATAACCGACCTGCTTCCTTCCAAAGCAAACAAAATCTAATTACCAGCAGCTCCGAAGCTCAAAAACGAACACTTCTGCTTTGTTTAATGTCAAACTGTAAGACTGACGCACTGTGGTTTTACAGAGGTTTGTCTACGTCTTGTCCAGGACGCATTAACTTTCCGTAGTCTTGTCGTCAGAGTGAAAAAACCAGCACAGACTCCAGGAAATAGCTGCACCCAGCCAAGAAATAGTTCCTGTAAAAACACAGCTCACACAAAAATAGCAAATGCTTGCAGTGTCACATTTCTCCAATGATCTCTGCCTGTAAATTGCAGATAATTTCGCGACTCCTGCAGGGCTCTCACGTACTCGTGCATGGGTCACAAGCGCGTCATTTTGTGAGAAAATGAGTGGGATGTGTCGTGATCCCGTGATGCCAATTTAGGTGAAATTGGTCCCGCTTGGCTTTTCATCTCGTGTCTTTCCTGCCTGTGTTTTTCTACGCAGGTGTCTGGTGAAGTGGCTGGAGGTGCGCTGCGTCTGCCCCATGTGCAACAAGCCCATAGCCGGCCCCCCGGAGCAGCACCACAGCATAGGGACTCTGCTGGATGAACTGGTGTAACCTCTGGACCCCCGCCAGCCCTGGTGGGGACGCCGGCGCTCGGCCAAACTAGCTGGTGTGAGTTAGTGACCAACAGGAGGAGGGACGCTGTTTTTGCTGTTAAAACACATCAGCAAATCGACAACATGATGATGATAAGTTGGGGTAACCTAGTTACCACCCGGAGGAAGACTCTGAAGGATGCTGTTGCCTAGCAACAATCTCCGTGATGGCAACACGACACCTTGTAGTGTCTGAGAGATTATCTTCAGCCACCCACACATCACTCCGCCACTCTTCTTTCAAGATCCCCCCCCCTCCCCAACCTCTCCACCCGTTCCTTCACATCTTCTCTTGTTGCCTCGAGTGAGGTTAATAGCAGCGCTGAAGTGGAGGAGACGGGTTTTTTTTGTTGTTTCGCAGCGACGCGGACGAATGAGTGTCGACTGATGACAGCGCTCTGCAGGAGGCACCGATCCCCTCTGAGTGTGTGACGGTGGGCACAGGCATGAAATAATAATATCCACACTGGGGGCGATTAGCGAAGCTCCTGTGTTAAAGTAACGACCTCTTCAGTTCTTTCAAATGTGAAGATTTGAGTCCAATCCTCAGACGTTTATATTTCCTGCCGGCGGTTGCACAAGGTCGTTTTTTTTAGAGGTTATCAAACAAACAGGTGAAGCTGGAGCTGTCTAGAAACAAACACCTGAAGAGAATGAATAGTGTACACGGGGTAAACTGCTGTAAACTGAATTTTGAAAGATTAAATCACAAAAGTTCATCAGCAGAACCTAAATTATTCATATTAGTGACGAGGTGCAGCTCGAGCTCTCGTCCACATGCAGAAATGTCTCGATCAAGTCAGAACAACTGCATTTTTTTTCCTGATATGAAAAACTCCACCCTGGTGCCCACCGGTACACCGAGACCATGACTGTACATGCTCCATTTGTTTTCTTTCCACTGGGACGACATTCTTTTGTGTTAATATAGATAGAAGGGACTGACACATTCTGCCTCTCACTGTAACTGTTTTGAAATATGTTGGGGTTTTATTTATTTTTTTTTTTAGATATTGCACTTTGAATTCACATGCACACACACACCCACACAGACAAAAACAAAAAAAAGCCGTTTTCAGGCCTCCGTTCGTCTAAAACAGTAGACTAAGGTGTGGATGCAGCACAGCAGGTCCCTTGTTTATGTCTGTGAAGCTGAAGGAAGCGGCGTCGGAGGCGGTGAATTCATCAGGAAATCAACTACTTTTTATACACACAGTTTTTGTGGCATCATTGCTGGTGATCCTGTTTTTACATTCTTCTGTCGTATTTTTGTCGGGTTTTTTTTTTTTCAGTTACAGTGATCCTGAAAGCAAAGCACTGCCTAAATTGAGCACAAAACTCACAAAGCACATTGTCCAGATACAGCAGACACCTGCACTGTAATTTAAATGTCCATGTGCCAAGACAAAGGAAAAAAAAAAAAAGTTGATCCTGTTGCATTTTCAGCACACGAGAAAAGGGAAACGTTCACTCCGATTCTGGCCACATTCCACATTTTGTAATCCAACAGATGTAAATAACTTGGAACAATAATAAAAAACAGTTGTCTGTTTGCTCAGCCTCTTGGTCATTTTTTTTTTCTTTTTGACAGTCATGCATGTGGCGCCACCATCAGGCAGCATCATGAATCAAGATGTGTAAAACTGATTTTTCTTCTACATGCAGGTGCAATTAAAATGCTTCAAACGGCAAGTAGGGATTCGAATACAACTTTTGGAAAACATGTAAAGCCAGTTAATGTGGAAGCAAAGTACTTGAACCTCAAATTTGAAATCATCTGTCCTGTATGAAGAGATATTTGTGACGTCTTGCAGGTTAAGAGGTTGAGTCTCATTTTTTTGGTTTGTGATGCTTTAAACTCAAATAATTACCACTTGCCTGTGATGGCTAATTAAACCAAGAAGTGTTTCTCAGATCATTAAATATGAGTCCTGACAAGCATTTCGAAGACTTTTAGAGAAAAAAAAAAAACCCCACACCAGAAGCATCAGTGTTGTCGTCTTGCAACTATTTTTCTTATTGATTAATCTGTTTGTGTCAAGAAACAACACTGGAAGCATTGATTGCCCAGAGACGGGTAATTCAGACGGAGTTTTTGTCTTCAAAAGGTCAGGTCGCCGAAGCAACAAGAACAACAAACATATTTCTGACTTGCTTGCAGTGGCGTCAGCAAATAGCTCGTCCGGGGTTTGACATGTGTGTCTCTGAGATTCGTCAAATAAATCAGTAATGCTGCAGTAATGCTGTTCAGTTAATTCTAAAAAGTGTGGACTAAAATGGAAATATATGTCAGATTATTTGCTTGCTACTGCACTGCGTCACAATAAAAGACAAAAAAGAAAGATAATGTTGATTTTAAGGAGTTCAAAATCTGGAGATGTCTCATATAAGCAGGTAAAAAAGGGGGTTAGTCTGAATTAGATGAATTAAAATTATGAATAATCACCTTAATCACTGTTTAAAACACAACAGATCAAATAACAATCTGGTCAAAGATTCATTTTCGGTGCCATTTGACTTGACTTTAATTACAGCACTTTTTAGAAGCTCTGTTTAAAACATTAACATCAGCAATAAATAATTAAATCCTACACTAAATGCATCAAAACAGAACTCGCCGTTTTTAAGAAAACAGGAGAAACAGCAAACTTCAACCCCTTAAAGGAGTCGGCGCTCAGGAGCCGACATCCGAGCGAAAACAAGGACCATCTGTACTGTGCCTCATTAAATGTGCAAGACCCCGTTCTATTGGTGGGATCCGACGGGTACCTAGCTATTTCCCCACAACAGATTGCAGGTGGCAGAGCATCGGAGTCTGAAGGGCATTCCTTACTCCGGTTGCCTTCTAATTAGACTTAAGGGCAAAGTGGAGCCTCCGAGGACCTGAAAGGGAAATTAAGAATGAAGGCAGATGGTGGGAGATCTTATATAGGGACGGTGGAAGTGAGGGATGGAAACAGGGAGAGGAGAGGAGAGGGGAGGTGCTGGGGAAAGGTGGAGACTGAGGATGGGGGAGAGAGGAGGTCCTCGCTAGTTCAGCTGACTCCCGTCTCTGAGGCCACTTCAATTTTGACAAGCTGGAGAGCTGTTTCATCATTTCTTCACAAGTCCTTTTTTTTTTTCTCACTTTACAAGTGACAGACTGGGAGATGAGCAGTTTACGGACGTCCAACTGTCGCTCCAGTTTTAAGATCATTTGGTGAGTGTAATATTTTTAATCCGAGTGTCCTTATTTGCAGCTTCCTGGAGTGTAAACTGCACATTCTGCGGCCACGCTTGCATGTTTTAGTCATGTTAGCAAGCAAGGAGGGCTCATAAAGCTCATCACTCTCTGTCATTTACTGCCTGTAGTCACTTTAAACAGATGTAAGATGTGTTAATACGAGCCACAAGAGGTGGGAACATCAGAACCACGGCCGTAAATGTTCAGCAAAAGAAAGTACTGATGCTCTGGAAGGATTTTAATTAGTCAATTAAAACCCCTGATATGAACTCTACACTGTTTTATAGGTCAGCATGCTATGAACTCATGCATACATACATACATGCATCGTCTCACACACACACACACACACACGAACACACACACACACACACACACACACACACACACACACACACACTGCTTGGGTGGACATGGAAACATAAGCAAGTCTTTCATGAAATCAGCCTCTACCTGAGCCAATAAAGAGCCAACTGTGCTGTGAATAAACTGATTATGGCAACACACACACACACACACACACACACACACACACACACACACAAGCAGGGTGGAGGAGAGAGACACACAGAGAAATGCTTGTTTCTGTCACTTCCCACCTTCAGCAGCGTCGTGGCACTCAGAGTGAATGTGAGGTCAGGTTATTTCTCTTTCTGTGCGTTTTGCAGCAGCCAAACTGAACCCGACCAGCAGCCCGGCGGCACCGGGACGAGGACGCGTGCCGTGGTAACGAAATAAGTTGCTCACAAGACACTGAGGCAACATCGGGACGCGATCAAACCGGTCGGTTGGTTGGTTGGTTTGCTTTTATCTGTCGTCGTTTGATCTGTTAAAATAGAGTCAGGATCTCTGTGTGTGTGAAGTCGTCTGAGACTGACTGAGGTTTTTGCTGTTACAGGTGTCCGCCTCATTAGAGCTGTCTTTGTGCAGATTATTTCAAATCTGATTCTTTAACCATCATTTAAGATGGTGCTTATAAATCTAAGAGACCTTAAGAGGGCTTCATGTAAACCTGATGCAAATATTTTTGGGGCTTTTCTTAATTTTTTCAGCTGTCTGTGGGTCTGCTGCTTGTTTTATTCTGGTGCAAGCGTTGATGCTCCCATCTCGTATAAATGGTGCATGTGACTCCTTGCAAGAGGCTTCTTGCAGATGCTCTTTTATGTTGTGTTATGAGGTTGTTGGAGGTTTCTTGTGATGCAGGAAAAACTGAAGTGTGAGTAGACAGTAAAGTGTTTTCTAATCTTATAGCTAACTGCATTCCATTCAGCTGTTGTTGTACTTGTGCATTTTACCTGTAAAACATCGACTTGTTTCTCTGACATTTAGCTCAAAACGATGCTGCACAGCTTCACAAACCTGCTGACTCAGCTGTAGACTGGTGAAATTCTGGGCAATCTCTCCGGTGCAGGAAAAACCCTCTTTGTTCTCAACTTAAAGTTGGGAATCACTGCTTTAAAATGTATATTTTTGTCATTGTAGGGAGTTTCTGTATGCTGGTGAGGACCTCCACGTAAAAACATTTGTCCAAATCAAATGACTGTTCAGACACTCTGTGACGATGCTGCCTGTGGATGCGACAGACAAGGACAGCAGGAGGAAGCAGCAGGACTTTTAAAGCTATATTCTTTAATCTATAATTTAGGAACGATGGGCTGCTCACCTTTTTGGCTGTGCATCTTCACATGACAGCTATTTTATACACCTCAGATGTTTAGGACTGCTTAAAAGACAATCCACCATGTTCAAACGGTGGCTGCTGGCCCTGGTGGCCCGTGTCGGCCTCATCGTGTTGGGCCTCTGCTGCTGCCTGTCGCTCTTCTACCTCCTGGCCTGTAAACCTGCATCTCACGGCAGCCAGCAGCCTCCGCTGTGGTCTGGAGGAGCCACCAGTAAGGAGGGATACCTGGCCTTGCTGCAGGAGAGGGAGGACTCTCACAAACACTACATCAACAGCCTGACGAAGCAGATAGCCCAGCTGAAGGAGGCTCTCCAGGAGAGGACGCAGCAGCTTCAGGAGTCGCTGGACAAAGCTAAAACTAAAGGGGTTCTGCCTCAGGGTCTGGAGAGTCTGCACAAAACTCCGGCGCAGTCCGACCTGAAGGTAGGAAGACGCGATGCAGATGCAGAGAAGATACAGAGTTCACGCGTGCTGATGAAACAAATGAAGAGTGACATTATATGTGTAGTAGTAATTGCTACATCGTGTCCCGCAGGAGTTCTTCCGCTCCCAGCTGAGCCAGGCAGAGGTGAACTCAGGTGTGAAGCTTCCCAGCGAGTATGCACTGATTCCTTTTGACACTTTCACCCTGCAGAGGTAAGTGGGGGAGCAGAGCTGTTGATGCCTCCAGGAGGGCCGCGTAGCCGACATCTGATGTTCACTCTGAGCTGCCGCCTCTTCACAGAGTGGGGTTTTTGTCGTGTCACTCAGGGTGTACCAGCTGGAGACGGGGCTGACGAGGCACCCAGCCGAGAGGCCTGTGAGGAAAGACCGCCGAGACGAGCTGATAGGCACCGTGGAGACGGCTCTGCATGTCCTGAACGGACCTCAGCAGCACGCCGACAACATCAGGAGGAAGCACGCGTACTCCCCGTCTGACTTCATACAGGGTGAGAAAGAGCTGCATGCACACTTTCACTTCCTTCACGTGTTCTTCTGGTGGACAAACACAGCTGGACGCCTGTATCCGATTATCAGACATTATTGGGTTAATGTGTTACTGTTTTGAATTCAGGAGTGGATTTTACTTCCACTGTCAGGTAGTAAAAGGACACATCACATCTCATTTTTATCTCCAGAAGCTAAACTGATGCACCAATTTGACCTTTAACAGTCAAGTGATTTGACTAACGTGCACAAAAAATGGTGAAAAAAAATCATAATAAAACCTAGAATAATTCTATGTCTAATAAAGAAAAGCTAAAATCAATCAAAGACTAATAAAACTGAAGAGAGAGAACAGAGATGTTAAAAACCCAATAAAATGACTTAGTTTGAAGATAAAGAGTTTGATGGAGTCTCAAGCAGAATTTATTCCTTCCCAGTTGGTTCGTTCTGTCTCAAAAACGTCAAACTGGTTCATATTAAACTGGACCCTACAAGTGGTCAATATAAACAGGCCTCAGCGACGTCACTTCATAAGTTTGCCACCCTTCCCAGCTCTGCTCACCTTTCAGAGATCTCTCTTTCAAAGAAAAGCTTCAGTGATTAGCTGGTGTCCATCTATCGCTCCATTTGGTCTCCCACCAGTAAAACGTTGGCTGTCTCCTCCTCTCACTTTTGCCATTTTGCACTTTAATAGCCAGACAACTCATTCTCTCAACCAGAAACCTAAATGAGCAATTTAATGACGTGTATCCATCTTAAAAAGAAAAGGTATTTGAGGGATGACAAATGGGAGAAACTTCAGCTTGTCTGATAAAGATTTTTTTGTCCTTCTCTTTTTCTCTTGGTTCAGTTTCACCACCTGCCCTGTAGCTTGGAAACTGACGTCCTAGAGACAGCTGAAAAAACTGACATTGTTATGTTTAGCTACAGTCGTGACTCGATGATCTGACACTAAATGTAAAACCTTCTTTTATGCCGGATATCAAGGCTGTCGGATTGTCAAGACGGAGGTCCAGATACAAGGAGGGCTTGATGCTGGAAGGCTCATTAGTTGTTAATTATTGTTCATAGTTGTTGTTATAATAACTAGTGTATTGCTAGAACACTACGCATCACTGGATTTCACGCCTAATTGACCGGTGTTTGATTGTGCATGTTCCGACCACTTCCACCACAGGGAAGTGCTCTGACGGGGTGGAAGTGGCCGGAACGCACAGGCAGTACTTGGCTGCTGATGCTAGTTTAGTTAGCGCTCACACTTCTGTTTCCACCATCGGTGGCGGTGGGGGAGTGGCAGATACGCTCCACCGTTACCATCCATGTTTACTTCCATAAACACTGAGCACGCTCGCTGCGTGTGACGTCGTCGTGTCCTCTTCTGCGCATGCGGGACACTTTTGGGTCGTATGAAGTTCACACAGCAGATCACATACAAGTCGCATTTAATTGGAAATGTGAACGAAATCGGATTTAACAAAAAAAATCCTCATTGAGCATCAAGTCCTGCAGTGTGAACGTAGCCAATCTGTGGGATTGTTCAGTCAGATAATACGCCGTTATCCTGATTGGTGACATAAAATGTCATGTTGGAGTCAGAATCCAAGGCTGTCGCTATGTTAAGGCTGTTTTTAATGGGTTGCGTTCGTTTTTCCTAAGAGGGTCGAATTATCAGGTGACGACTGTATATTGAAATCTAAAATAAAATATAGGAGTTTTCACAAGCGGAATAAATATATTTGGAAAGAATGAATTATTCTTGCACGACTAGAGTGATTTTATAGGGAAGTTCATCTGCAGGAAAAATAAAAAATCTTTACTTAAAAAACTGAAAAGAGCCATCTAAAATGAGATAGACACTATATTTCAAGTTTCAAATATATTATTATGATATATAACTTAGAATTTCATTGTCACACATGGTGTAAAGTAAAATTAAGGTCATAAAATGTATTTTAATTGTGGGAAAACTACCTTGTTTGTATGATGATGACGACGTTTGTTTCTTACTATTGCACAGTATTTTTCTTTATACTAATTTTTTTATTATTGTACTTTTTACATGTGCTATTAACTTCCTTGGCACCATCAATTCTTTGGAACTGACTGGAAATGTACCAATTTAAGCCAGTTTCCAGTTTTTCTGTCCTTTCCAGGAACCTTCCTACGAACATACACTCATAAATCAGCTCTTTTTTTGTAAAATTATTAGGAAACATGGGCCCAGTAATGCTCTCTCCTCCTCATCGCAGGGCTGACTCGCACAGAGCGGGACAGGGGAAGCGTTTACGAGCTGATGTTTCGAGGCAGCGGCCAGCAGGACTTCACGCAGCTCGTCCTCTTCAGGCCGTTCGGCCCGGTGATGAAGGTGAAGAGCGAGATGGTGAACACGCGGGGGATGATCATCAACGTCATCGTGCCTCTCTCCAAGAGGGCCGACGCGTTCAAGCAGTTCATGAGCAACTTCAGGTATCGCTCGGAAAGTAAATGAACGCGCTGCCACCTGCTCGCACACACCCACTGGGATTGTATTGTGAAATTATTGATCTCAGGCTGGAGTAATAAGCGTGGAGGAGCTGAGTGGGTCCTTATCTTAATAAAGCAGCCTGACAGAAAACCTATAAGACTCCTCGCCACTCACAAATGAGTAGATATAGATTAGAAAGAGTAGCTTCACCAGTGTAATCACCCTTATCTGGATAAAGGGCAACTTGCGGCTATCTGTGAATAACGTCGTACTGAAATGTGTTTATTCGTCTGTGCTGTCTCTTCAGAGAGGTGTGCATCCGGCGGGACGGCAGGGTTCATCTCACCGTGGTCTACTTCGGTCGAGATCAGATCGACCAGGTGAAAGCTGTGATGGACCAAACCACCAGGTGCCACAGTCGAATTTACAGTTCGCTCATCATCTAATGTCACGATCTCCCTCTGATCAGTCCATGTGTGCAGGTCATTTTAATCACAGAGTTTGTCTGGTTCAGCTCCACGGTTTGGTGCCTTGATGCCACAACAGATTAGAAGTTACTTAGCACATTATTAGGAGCTAATCTGGATTCAATATAATGCAGTCCAGCGCACCACCACCACCACCGCTCACTACCACCTCGAAACATAATGAAGCGCTGTCACATGTTTTCAAACTGTCAATATCAACTGAAAGAATAATAACAGCTGTATTGGATAGAATTCATAGCAGAGCTGTTGTATTGGATTGCATTAGATTGCGCTGCTGTTTCTAATAAAGTGAGATGGATTTCCAGTTTAGTATCAGTCAATTTATCTTTAAAAATATCTCAGAAATCTGCCACTCGGTGAAGAGTGTGGGATTAACGCTTGAGATGTGAGTTTTTAAAGTCTCAAGTCTTGACTATGAAGTCCTGGGTTACTTCATCGGCCTGATTTTCTGCCATATTAAACACTGCAGGAGTACATTAACAGAAGTAATAATGAATATGCTTCTCAGATAAGATGCTAAATGGTCAGATTTGCCTGTTTCTTATTCCTGTGACACAGTTACAGTCATTTCTATTTTGTTAACTGAATAGTTGTGTCAGTTTTTGAATTATTGCATCTGAATGTGATGATCAAAGCCGTTATCTGCACCGTAAGACAAAAAAAAAAATCCAGCAAGACTGCCAGAAAAAGAAAATGGCGGGAAAAAAAGGCGGGAAAATAATGGCAAACATGTCTAAAATCATTTTTTAGTGTATTAAAATAACCTAAAACTGTGTAATATCACAGCTACACAGTGTAAATGTACTTTTTTACAATGTGGTCTGCACTATCAAACACACCTTCATTTGCTAGCATGATTGGCTTATTGTTGGAATAATTTACAGTAAATCTTTTGCACGTTTTTATGTAATCTCTCATCTTCAAGTCCCTCTGAGTAAACCCACTTAAGCAAAATTGGTGCTACAGTCAAAGCTGAGTTTCAACCTTTTCAGATTTTGTCATGACATGAGCTGAAGTCATGTGACTCAAGTTCATAAATCCTAAAAACAATCAAGCAAAAACAACAAAACAAAGACGAAATCCATTTCTTTTCCTCAACTCTCACAGATGTGTCTGTGCTGCACTGCAGATATTTTGGCCAAAAGATAAAAAAGAAGTGTAAGTGAGAGAGTATCAGTGTTTTACAGCTGCAGGCTATTAAAAAGTAAGTCCTGTGAAGCCTGTGCACCTCCAGAGACCAGCACTCACGCCCACATGCATACACCCCTCTGTAGTGCGCAGGCTGAGATGATAAAATCATAATGCAGGATCTTTTCCTCCTCAGGCTTTAGCGATCAAAACACAGCAGATCCTCTGTGAGCTGTTGTTAACTATGTGATGCTGCGACTGTGCAGCAGCAGCCTGATGAGACTTTCTGACTACAGACTAGTTTGAGCTTCAAACTGAGCATCAGAGCACCACCTGTCTAATTAAACACAGATGACCGGCCTCCTGTCCTTTCCCTCAGAGAGACTCGGTTCAGGAGCTTTACCTTGATCCAGCTGAACGAGGAGTTCTCTCGCGGTCGGGGCTTGGACGTGGGCGCCAGGGCTTGGAGGCGGAGCCAAAACGTCCTGCTCTTCTTCTGTGACGTTGACATCCACTTCACCGCCGACTTCTTGACTTCCTGTCGTCTCAACGCAGAGCCTGGTGAGAGACGGGAGCTTTATCGACATCATTTTTTTTTTTTACCAAATACTCCAGAGATGCCAATGAAATCAAACTGTAACTTGTTTCTACAGGAATAAAACAGCTCAGATTACAGCTCTGGCTGATGGTGGTGATAATGTCTCAGGGCCACACACACCCACACGAGGGTTTTCAATTAGCTCTCAGGTTAAAGCCTGGTGGAGCTCTGCTGGGAGCTCCAGTGTGACACCAAAGTCCCACTACAGGTGTCACTAATGGAATTAAATTAATTGCATTTCATGATACTGAGCTGAGGGCTGCAAGGTGGCGCAGTTGGTAGCACTGTTGCCTCGCAGCGAGAAGGTCGCCGGATCTTTCTGCGTGGAGTTTGCATGTTCTCCCCGTGCAGCGTGGGTTCTCTCCGGGTTCTCCGGCTTCCTCCCACACAGTCCAGAAACATGTTGAGGTTAATTGGTGATTCTAAATTGTCCGTAGGTGTGAATGTGAGTGTGCTTGGTTGTCTGTCTCTAAGTCTCCAGCCCTCCAGGTGTCCCTGAGTCAGCTGGGATAGACTCCAGCCCCCCCACAACCCTCGTGAGGATTAAGCGGTGTATAGATGATGGATGGATGGATGGATGGATGGATGGATGGATGGGATATCCAGCTGGTTCCAGGGTCTGAATATGTCTCGCTAGAACATTTCATAGAACTGGATCACTTTACCAATGCTGTCTGACGTGAAGCCAGCACTACGGTCATTCATGGTTTAACCTTCATGTTTCAGGGCTACAATGGTGGCTCACTTCACTGTGCAAACTTTACCTGCTCTGGATCAGTTCATCTATAAAATAAGAGATAAATGTGTATAAAAGCAGCACCTTCTGACCTGTTACCTCATCACCATTTGTAGATGATCCCTCGGCGCTCAGTGTGCAAACAGTGAGAGTTTTTAGAACTGCAAGTTATTTCACATCCATTCCAATCTTCTATATGACTTTGCATTGCGACATAATCCTAAAACACAAGCGGATTTAAAGCCTTCAGACTAGATGTTGACTTACGAGATTTGCCTACTCACCGATTTAAATGACGTCTTAATATTTGCTCTTTACCTGCTCCTGAACCTGTTTTACACCAGAATAATCCTAAAACTGTCCTACACACAGTAAGAACAGGCTGTGATGGAATATTATAATATTATAATTATAGTGAGATCTGCTTATGCATTAATGGTGGGGCAGTGATAATAATAATAGCAGGTATTATTTGCCAGTTTTCCTTCCTGCTTTGTGCTGCTTTTAGCCTGTATTCTATCTTTAAATCCCTCTTATTTGTTAAAGATTATAACTTCTTCTTCTTCTGAAAAACATGCGGCTCTAGTGGTGCCAATGCTTTACATGAACACAGCCAGGTTCAGAAACGATGCATTGGCTTAACGAGTGGACGACCAGCTTTGCGTGACTGTTTTTAGTGCACCTAGATATCAAAAACAAATCCTGGGTATGTTGAAATTTGAGCCATTTCAGTTTCTGTGCAGCAGATCAAAAAAAAAAAAACAACCTTCATGTTCCAACAACATACTAAACAATGAAGACAAATAAGCTCATGTTTCTCTGCCAACAAGATGTAAAAAAATAATAATAAGCTGACTTCACACCTCAGCATCTTTAACACCTCCTGCTGTTTGATTATCACCTGATAGAGATTCAGTGTCACACCTGCCCTTACAGCATGCCAGCAAAGACAATCCAACTTATTTCCGCTGCCGAGACGCTTTGTGTGAACGCTGTGCCAGACAAATAATGTCAGAACACAGTCTGTCACACCTTAAAGGAGCCAGTGAGCAGTTTTCCAGGTTGTTTTAGGGGTTGCTCGAACCTTTGTGCATGTGCTGTCTGCAAGAAGAAGCTCTATCAGGGCTTTTTAGGAGGGAGGCAAAAGTTCCTACTGCAGGGTAGCCGGTGTCTGATTGGTTAAAGTCACACAAGACAACAAGCAACCATTTTTCTGCCCTCTCAATGTCCTCATCAAGTAGCAGTCGTCTCCTCTCTATTCACCATATAGACAAACATAACAAACCCTCCGTTGTTGTAGTTCCTCTGTGCTCATAGGACTGGAGTTACATGCAGTAACTACTGCTTATTGTTCTTTCAGTGCACTCAGGGTTTAATGTTGTGGCTGAACGTACATACACCGCAATGGACACAGAGGCTGGAATGGTTTCTTACTGGGCCAGTTCTGGGAATGTTTGCTGGTCTGAGTTCCTGCAGTGGAAAGTCACCGATGTAATAACGATAACTCTGGCTTGTGCTGTTGAGGGATAAGAGGTAACCTGACAAAGAAGCGAAGTAACGTGAAGTTGTTGGACACTGACACTTTATAAATGCATAAAGTGTCTTGTAATGCAGCGTGCCAGAACGTCTTCCTGTTGGAGAATGCTGTCACCTATTTTAACTATTAACATAACATAGACTTTTCTATTCAAATGTCGGTTCAGTTCGGTTACATTTAAGTTCATTTAGCACCAGTTCACAGCATGATGGACTGGCGGCCTGTCCAGGGTGTCCCCTGCCTTTAACCCAGTGTCCGATGGGACAGGCTTCAGCTCCCTCAGGCTAAAGCAGCTACAGATAATGAACAGGTAGAATTCTTGTAGTTTAATCTTAGCAATTGGACTTGCTTGAGTTCCTTGAAGACGTTTCATCTAAGAGGCTTCATCAGCTCTGACTGACTAGTTGGGAGTTCCAGATACTGATATCCTTAAGGAGCCACTAACACCTGAGTTTCGGCTTTAATTGGGAGTTTGTTGCTCCTCCCCCTCGTTAACTCATTAACTCAGGTGTTAATGCCTCCCTGCTAGTCAGTCAGAACTGATGAAGCCTCTTGGATGAGAGGTGAAACGTCTTCAAGGAACTCAAGGAACCAGTTGCTATGATTAATCTACGAGAACAACCAGGACCTGGATGACTGAGAATCTTCACAGACAACTGATAGAATTCACAACATAAGCCATTGGTTGCCTTTGAGCAGCTCTTTGGGGACGATGGAAAGAAAAAACTCTTTTATCAGGAAGAAACCTCTGGCAGAACCAGGCTCAGGGAGGGCAGCTATCTGCCTCCACCAGTTGGGGTGAAGCTGAAGAAGACAGAGAAAAACACAAACAATGCACAGGAGAACAATAAGCATTGGGGCAAATGGTGACATCAGTGAAGAAGCTCTGGAGCCACAGATTTCTCCAGAAAGGACAAAACACAAACTACAGGAGAGAAAGGGCAAAAAGTTAAGACATAAAGTCTTCTATTGGCTTTAATTGTTGTTCATTAATCTACAACAGCACCTCAGTAAGTACAGTTAAGACTCAGAGCTTTACAGATTGTTTAGTCAGAAGCAAAGGAATCCACAGAGGAGCTAATTATGCTGCTGCACGCTATCTAAAACCACCTCAGATCTTCCTCAAATCCCTCAGCGGTGAGCGAGCAGATCACATATTTTCCTCTTTTAAGGTGTGACCTGTGACTGTGTGTGGGTGTGACAGGTCTTCAAGAAATCCTGAAGACGAGTGAAAGCATCTGCAGCGAATACTTGTAGACGCAGGTTTAGCTTCAGGAAAACTACTGGAAGTCGTGCCCATAATTGCCCACACATGGTATGAGAATTTTAAAAGGTGTAAATTGACACACAGATCAAGAAAACTGACTTTGGAGAAGATGCCGTCATTACTGGGGCAGCATTAGGGACACCTGTGGGTTCTTCTGCTGGTGTGAGAACCGAATAGAAATAATGACCAGACTGTTTTGATTCTGACTCCATCAGTAAGTCATGCTAGCAGCGACTCCTCACCGAGTCTCCGGAGAAGGTGGTCTGTCTTTGTCGGGGCCAGGTTACTGCTGCCCATACAAATGACCCACATCTCATTGTTTTCACTCCAATTAAATCTGCTCCGGCTGCTGGTGATGAAAAATGCATCACCCGGTACCAGGAGCCTAAAACAGAAAGTGTGTCGACTACAGCTGCTTTAAAATTTTAGAATAAGCTTATTGTTTTATCTTTTGTTTTGCACTGTCTGCATCTATTTTATTTTATGTTTTACAGGTTGTGCTACAAGGAAACATGTCACATTATTGTATTTATGTGAATGGGCCTCTGAGCGTGTCTTCTCTTGTAGGTAAGAAGGTTTACTACCCCGTGCTCTTCAGCCAGTACAACCCGTCCATCATCTACAGCAACCACACGCTCCTGCCCTCCCTGCAACAACAACTGGTGGGTTAAAAAAAACAACAACATACCAACAGCTCCATTACAGCAAAGATAAATCATGATGGAGGAGATTGATTTCTGGCTTTTGCCTCAGGTGATCAGGAAGGAAAGTGGATTCTGGCGAGACTTTGGGTTCGGCATGACGTGCCAGTACAGGTCTGATTTCATCAACATAGGTAACGACGGAGCTTCTTTCTCATTTCCTGTGTTGAAAGACCAAAACAGTTCATCAC